ATGAAGGAAGCGGAAAATTAGACAGGCGTGCAAGGAGCGTTCAGCAACATTCAGCTTTCATTATCGTAGGGCAGTGCAAGATTTTAGTGAGTTTGAAATATTGTTTGAAATGTATGTTGCTCGGTGTTTTAGCGTTGCCGTTGGAACGGAGAATTGAGCTGTATTGCCATCGGCTGTCAACACGTCCAGAAATATATTTACGCAAAAGGTTTTAATTTTTGTTAGCCAAATTTCACTTTTTCACATTTGATGTTTTGATCCTGTAATATTAATGTTCAGTCAAATACTGTAATAGCAAATTAAGCAGCTGTTAGACTGAAAGACATTGATCTGTTTTTTACCGGTGGGAAAACCAGTCTTTTTTCAATTAGTTCTGATGATAAATTGATCCTTGTACCTGCTGGGGAATGAGAATAGCTATTAGTTTGCTCCATATAACCTTGGGAAGAGGGGAATTCAGTAGCTTTACCCTGTTGCAGTGTTGAGTTAAGGCGTATATGACTTAATGAATCGAAATGGTCTTATCTCACTTTTACCTCCTTAACCCATTTTTCATTGTTATCTTCTGGATTTTCACCATTTAAGCTTGCGGGGTTGATTTGGTTGCTGCAATTTACTAATTGGGTAGTTGCGACAAGCGATTTGGCACTGATCGATGGGCTACTGTTTGGTGTCTTTCCTTCACATGGAGTGTGAAATGTGAAAAGCTTAGCTGTTCAAGTTATTGCGATATAATTTGGTCAATTATAGGTTGGAGCAAACACCCTGGTCTGCGTTTTTGGAGGAACGAAAAACAGCAGTGAAAGAAGCTGTGATTGTTGAGGAACGACCGGCAAGAAAAAAGGAGGAACGGAGCGGAAGCGAGAGCAGCTATGAGGACGTCGAAGAATACGAACAACCACCACCGCGCCATACTCAGCGCGCATCAAAAGTACTTTCTTTTTATAGTACCTTCGAATTGCTTGCGAATAGCAGAAGACAAGTAGCGTCCTCACCCCCTTCCCCTCCGCCCTCCCCCTCCTGAAAGACGGGGGTTCGATATCACCAGTGGTACAGGCATGATTTGTTTGTATGTTAAATTAGTACTGTTTGCATGCCAGGAAGTGGGAGCTATGCTGAGTTTGCTCCTGTGTTACCCCTCCCTCCCCTCTCCCCAGAAGAGGGGTGAGGGAGAGGGGAACCAGCAGCCCTCTCAGCTAGTTAAAAGGAGGAGTGGGGGGAGGGGGAAGGAGTGGAGGGAGGAACCACAGCCCTATTGCTACCGATTCCCTTGATCTTTCAACGATGAACACGAAAAGAGTTTGAGAGCCAGCCATCGCTTTGCTAGCGAATGGTTGCCGTTGACCATTGCTACTTGGACTACTCTCGAGTGTTTTGTACCTTTTAAGAGCAGTAAATATTGAAACGGATTTTGACTTGTGCAAGTGATGCGTGAGCTCTTTTAACTTTTTAAGCGTTCTTGAGGCCGAAAATGGCAAAAGCTTTGGGATTTTCGGCGGTACTGGTGCACTGGAGTTATTACCCAGTTATTGTGATCAGTGTACTCTGTGCATTTCGCATTCACAATCCCGGTATCTGGTGTGTTGCAGACGAAACGCCCCCCAGCAAAGCCAAGACGACAGCCATCAAAGGCGATAAAACGACCGCAAGAGCGGAAGAAGAGCGAAGATAGTAGGAGTCGCAAATTCGGTGATCAGAAACCCAAACTACCTCGTTCAACTAACCTCGAAGAAGGCGCAGCCCCGGAACCGATCCCGGGCCTTCCGCAGAAGATTGATTACAAAGAAATTTGCATACCTCAGTAAGAATTCGTTGATTTCCCTTTTTTAATTAAAATTTTTGCAAGAAGTTTTTGGTATGATCGGCCGAGCTCATAAGCATAGATTTTTATGAACACAGGTGCTCTTTTCGTGCAATAGTTCACCATTTTCTTTTTATGCATTTTTTGTAGCTATGCAGTGCAGAAAACGCATATTGGCGAGGGATCGTCTGTGTGTGTGTGCGTGTGTGTGTGTATCTGTGTATTCGTCTGTGCCGATTTTTCATCTTGAGACCTACAAAGCTACGGGGCTGAAATTTTGGGAACTTAATCTACATGCACGTACGGGCCCCCATCCCAAAAAGGACGCTTTTACCTGCGTGGTACCTGTGTTCGGGCTCGCCAAAGTTTCTTACGAGCAAGCCGCTAACTCGGAAACCAGAGAAGCCGGAAAGCCGAAGTTTAAAGAAGACATTTCCTGTCCAATTGGGCATTAGTGAGCTCAAAACCAGCTCCCGGTATGCGTGGTACCCACGTGTGGGCTCGTCGGTTGTTTTATGTTCCCCGTCCAAGTAAGTCTCAACGAGCTCGAACCCAGACATCGAGCACGCGTGGTACCCAGGAAAGTTTTTTCTAGTAAGCTGCTAACTCTGGAGCCAGGAAAGCTTGAAAACTGAAATCTTGAGGGGATGCTTCCTGCCAGGTCTGGCGACAAGTCTTCGGGGCGGTA